TTCTCCCATTGACGTGCTTTATCCCCCAAAGAGAAAGGGAATAGCTTCAGTTTGAATGCATCCTCGGACATACCATTGGTCTTTGACAAGCCACAGTAGCTGTCAAACTTGTTCAAGTGATCAAATGGGTATTCAACAGGTAACCCATGGTACTTGTTGTTCTCGATCACGTTGAGGAGTCCTGATTTCACCTCAAAGTTGTTTGCTTCCACAGCTGGCGCACGGATTCCCAACCTATTGCCATGAAGGTTCGGACGGTCATAAGTGCCAATAGGGCGAGCTGGGCGAGGTGGGGGAACTTGGTTTTGCCCATTGACGTTAACCGGTGGGTCCATCTCAGTATCCAACCTCTGCTGTTGTGCAAGTTGCGCTGCTTGTTTTCTCTGCCTTGATATCTCTCTTTCGAAAGCCCGGATGTCTGGAACTCTTGGAAAAAGGTTTGTTGTGCCTTTGCTTCTCAAGTTCATACACCTGAAATCCAAAAAGAGTTGAAGATAGAGAATCAGTAACAAAATAAAATAAAAATGACTTAGTCTCAAGCAAGTGACTAAATCTCAATGTTTCAATCGACTCAGAATTTGGCAACAGCGCCAATTTGATATTAGGAGTTTTCAAGGCTCCTAAGACAAATGATGTAGTATAAAAGATTGTCGAACCAGTTCTGAGAGATTTAAAAGCACCGAGAATGCAAGTACTAGCTTAATCTAAGTGCGATCATGTGGTTGATTGGTTTTTGAATTACAACTAATATTGAAATGCAGTAAAGAATGCGATGACTAAATAAACTTTAACAATTAAGAGACGGGAGAATCCATGGGTATAGGGAATTTGACCTTGGATGACCAGTTTTCGAACTAAGAGTGGCAAGTGATCAATTAAACTATCTACCTTAGGCCTAGACACAATTCTAAACAAGCTTTATGTCTAGATGAATGTTCATTTGCAAACACAATTCAAACATCAAACTTCTTTGGTTGAATATCATGAAAGCAATCATTAGGAACAAGTCAATTAGCCATCTTAACACCTTTAACAACAAGTATCCTTGGTAAAGGATGTTAAAAGCTTATGAGAGTTGACTCAGACATTTCATCGAACACTTTGTGAGTGGGAAATGTCTAAAGATCAACTCTTGAGTGGCCAACTCAAGAGAAGCATTAGGATCACTCTACAAGCAAGGAATATGAGAAATCTAAACTAAACACTATAATTCTAGACTAATCATCCTTAGTCACCCTAACCCATGAATTCAAGGGTGATTTACTCACTACACATCATGATTACTCTTAAACCCATTTTAGATTCAAGTTTAATAATGTAGATGATGAAATAGACAAGTAAAAACAATGAATAATGAAATCAATGATCTTAAAAGATGAACTTTCCAATCGGTTTTCAAGTATTTTCTTCAAGAACAAAGATAGATCCCCAATGGTGGCTTACAGAGTCTTAAACTTAGGTTTTTTTTCCAACTCAGAATATAAAAACGAAATTGCAAAAAGGTCCCTAAAACAGAAGTTTTTCGTCACACAAAATACGCGCAGCGGGGTCACTACACCGCTGCACGACCCCACTCCAGAGCTCACAGCGGGGTCCTGACCCCGCTGCCAAGACCCGCTGTAAGCTCTCTCTTTTCTTCTTCAAAAGACAAGCGACCCCCTTGCGTCCGCTGCCAAACCTCCGCTGTGGTCTGGAGCGACCCTCCGGACCCGCTGCTCGACCCCGTTTCGGCTGGTGTTGCTTGCAGCGACCTCTTGACTCCACTGTGGTTGGTCCGGCTCGCCAAATGACATCTTTGCACCTTCTTTTGGCATGTAATCGACCCCAAACACCTCCAGAAACTCCATAGCATGTTCCATGACCTGATAAAGACAAATGTATGCAATTTGCAACCTAAAGGTGCCTAAATCTAAATCTATATGCTCAACATAAATAAGAATACAAGGTTAAAACTTGGTAAATATGCAACATATCACACTTTAAACCTTGAAGTTTTTTCACTAACACATTAATCCTTCAAAGTGACATTTTTGTCACAAAAAACCTTGAACTTGAAAAATGTGACCTGTTGAAAAAGTAAAACAAGTCATTTATCAAGTATTTTTCAATAAATAAATATCTAATAAATAAAAATTTACTAAATAATCAAAAATCAATGAAAATCAATTAAATTTTCAAAAAATTAAAGAAAATTTCAGAACATAAAGAAAAAATTATAAAAAAAATAATTTCAAATACAAAAAAATAAATAAATTTCTGAAAATTAAACAAAAAAATTAAGAAAATTCACAAAATTGAACTTTTTGAAAATTCATTTGATTTTTATTTATATATTTATTATTTATTAAATATTTATTGCTAGGAAAAAACCTGATAAATTACCTATTTTATTTATTAGTTTTTTTCAGAGAAATAAATATTTAATAACATTATAAATATAATAAATAATCAAATAAATAAAATTTAATTTTCAAAAAAATGTTAAAGAAAATTCAGAACATAGAGAAAAATTTAAAAAATAAATAAATTGAAAGACAAAAAAAAATTCAGAGAATTAAACAAAAGTTAAAGGAGATTCACAAAATTGAAAACTCAAAAGTTCAAAATAGTTTTTTGAAAATTACAAGATTATGTTTTTAACTATTTGAAACCATCAACTTCAACAATGATATGTTTGAATTTTTTTTTGTCAACGATGATATGTCAATTTTATTGGAAAATTTCATAAAACTAAAAGATTTGTTTTTCAAAAATCTGAAATGTTATAGTTGAGAATAAAACTTTCAATATATCACTATTGACGATGATGGTTTCAAACATTTTTCAATTTTTTAAATGTTTCTTTATGTTCTGAAGTTTTCTTTAGTTTAAAAAAAAATTAATTTAGTTTTTTATTTTGATTTAGTTTTTGTTGAATTTTGTGAACTTTGTTTAATTTTTAGAATTTTATTTAATTTTTGGTATTTGAAATTTTTTTTTTTTATAAATTTTTCTATATGTTCTGAAATTTTATTTATTTATTTTGGAAAATTTAATTGATTTTATTTATTTTTTGATTTTGTATTAAATTTTTATTATTAAATATTTATTTTTCGAAAAAATTGATAAATGACTTGTTTTACCTATACAGCAAGTCAGATTTTCAAGTTCAATATTTTTTGTGACACAAATATCACTTTGAAGATTTAAAATGTTAGTGAAAAAACGTCAAGGTTTAAAGTGCTAATAATTGTCTTTCATGCCCGCTAGACTTTAACCTTATAAAGAGTGACTTGATCTGTCCATTTTTGGTAATGAATCCCACAGTTACAAATATGGCCAGGAATGAATATTTCGGATATGTACGAGTATTATTGGAAATATATATTTTTTCATTAGTCAAAAAAATACTTTATTTCAAATAACATACAGATAATTTAGATGATTAAAACTTAAAAGACAACAAAAGATCGTTAAAGTAAGTTACCTGATCTTGAAAAAAAAAAACTAAGTTATCTGATCCTTTTAAAAACAAATCCAGTAAAAGGTGTTATAATGTGTTGATGCAAACGAGTCTTTTGGTTTACTTATATTTGCATAAAACAAAATGAAGAAGCAATAAAATTATAACTATTTTTATTGTTATTATTATTTTTATCTATACTATTATTTGCGAAGTGATTTTTCGCAGCGGAGCTCACACGTTAAAAATTAGAGTGGTTAATATCGTTTATACTCTTAATGAAAATTATCTATATTTTACCCAAAAAATAAAAACGAATTTAAGGTTTATTTGATTATATAAGTGATTAAAATTAATAATAGTAAAGATTATCTTTTGTACCCTTAAGGAAAATTTTATATAAATTACCCAAAAAATAGAAAAAAATTTAAGATTTACTTGATTAAACAAATGGTTAAAATTACTAATAATAACAATTATCCAAAATTTAAAAAAGAAAAATTTAACAAAATAGTAATTCGTATATGTATATATATATATTGTGTCGTTACCTAAAAATATCAGTTAATATAATTGTTACAAATTCAAAAACAGCAAATACATAACTAAATATTAATCAACTAAAATTATTAATTTTAAACCAAAAAATAAAAACGAATTTAAGATTTATTTGATTATATAAGTGATTAAAATTAATAATAGTAAAGTTTATCTTTTGTACCCTTAATGAAAATTTTATATAAATTACCCAAAAAATAAAAACAAATTTAAGATTTATTTGATTATACAAATGGTTAAAATTACTAATAATAAGAATGATCCAAAATTTAAAAAAGAAATTTTTTAACAAAATAGTAATTCGTATATGTATATATATATATTGTGTCATTACCTAAAAATATCAGTTAATATAATTGTTACAAATTCAAAAACAGCAAATACATAACTAAATATTAATCAACTAAAATTATTAATTTTAAAGAGAACATTTAGTGGTTTTAAATATTTATTTATTAATAATGAATACAATATACAATTAAACTTTAAAAAATATATTACATAAGTAACTTAAAAGTTAGATCGGTTAATATCAATATTATCCTTAATGAATTTTTATATATAATTTATTAAATAATTAAAACTAAGAACAATTTTTCAGTTAATAATATTAGCTTTAGATGTTATATTGGATAACTATAAATTAATAATCAAATTATGAAAATTATATATTCTTTTTAGAAAGATAATTCTTACATATACTTGGTTGTTATCTGAAAATATTTTTTAAACATAATCAAATATTAAGCGATAATAAGATGTATAAACAAAATAGAAATTTTGTAAATTTGAATAATGTTATTTACAAAATAATTTTTACATTATTATGTCCGCATAAACACCTAGTTAATCATTATTTCCGAAAAAAAGAAGAAGATGACTTTTTATTATTTTAATTTGAAAAAGCAGCCCGATATGAAAAAACAAGAAAATTGTCGTGGGAAACAGAAACTATTAGATTGTTTCAGCAGGAGTTTTCCTAAATTAATTAAACAATCTTCTTCCTCAAGGGTTTGCTTCAATTTCATATCCGACCCAGAAATCTCGCTTCTTTTTTTTTTCTTTTCTTGAAGAACCACGGCATCAGAACCATGGCGTGGAACGTGTTCAAGTTCTGCACAGCACTTCGCGCCTTGGGTTCGATCATGATCCTTTTCGTTATCGGTATCATCGGATTCACTTACTACGCCGTCGTACTCGTGAATTACGGACCGTCTCTGTTACACGGAGGTCTCGATTCGTTTATAGCTCTTCTCGTTTTAGCTCTGTTTCACTTCCTGGTAAATCTCATTTCTTTACAACTCTAAAACTCTGTTTATTTTTTTCTTTTTCTTTTGCAACCTTCTATGATCTTTGCGTTTAGTAGTGTTCTAATTGTTAGTATTGATGTTCTGTATTGGATAATCTTTATAGTATTGATGTTCTGTATAAATTACCAATTTGATTCTTGGTGCTTTCTTGTTGGGTTTATTGTATTAGTTTTCCTATATATGGATGGACATGACTTCGCATCGATTAACACTAGGGAATCTAAATTTGCTATTAGTAGACTAGTGTTTTTTATTTGTGGTTTCTTGCACTAGTTTGATGCAAAATAATGCTTCATATGTATGGACATTACTTGATAGTGTTTATGTGGAAATAGGCTGGGATTTTGATTAATTAGATGCGTAGCTGAACTATCACTATGGTATCTGTTACTTGTTGTGCTAGTACAAATTGCAGTTAAATTTCTAAGTATCACTAAGGTATCTGTTACTTGTTGTACTAGTACAAATTGCAGTTGAATTAGGACAAGCCAGTGAGATAGTCAATCTGTAGTGGTGGATAGATCAAGTTTTCATCTTTTTGGTTTTGATTAGTGTCTCTGCTTTTGAAGCTGTTTTGGTTTATTGTAATACATTATCTTCATTTCAACTCAGCAGTGATAATTGTTGTTTAGGTTTTATTGTAGTATTATCTATAGTTGAACTCAGAAGTGATGGTTGTTGTTTTGGTGTGAAGCTTGTAATGCTACTATGGAGTTATTTCTCTGTCGTTGTGACGGACCCTGGTGGTGTACCACCGGGTTGGAGGCCGGAGTTAGACATAGAGAAAAGCGATGGAAATGAAGCAGCTATTGCAGAAGCAAGCCCACGTTCGGCTGGAGATTCCTCTTCTCATATTGTAAGGCATTGCCGAAAGTGCAATCAATATAAACCGCCTCGTTCTCACCATTGTTCTGTCTGTAAGTCTCCTCAATGCCTGATTCTTCATTTATTTCAATCTATTTTTTTTTTCTTTAATTAGTGAACAAGGTTTCTTCTTGTTTTTTTTTTTTTTTTTTTTTGAGGTGGAAGATGCAT